CATCCTCATCATTGCCGACCTTCAGGGCTGCTTCATAAGCAATCACTTTATTCAGGTATTGCCCGAGCTCGGTACCATTCCATACAGATACACGACCTACTTCTATTTTCTGGGTGCGTGGTGTACCAAAGTTCACATAGTTCACATCAGAACCCGGGTTGCCATAAATAGGCACGATCGGGAAGTTATATTTAGCCGGGTTGCTGTAGTATTCATTATACTGTTCGTATTGGAGACCACGGCCTATAATATTTACATAGGTAGGTTTCTCCGCCCAGTTATTATAAGCATATTGCAGGTAATGACGGATGGCGAGGGGATGCGTTTCATAACCATAAGCAAACTCATCATACAGTTCGGTTACATCTGCCAATTGTACATGATGAAGACCACCCGCTGCGGAAGCCCGGTAGTTTTTGTATTCATCTAAGTAATTATGACCGCTTGCCGGCTCATTGAGCTTGTTGTGGGAGATCATAATATAATCCCCCTGCGTGGCCGCATGGTTATTAAAGGTAAATTTCTTATTAAGTGGTAACGAAATAACTCCGGTACCAGTAGCTACCAGCACCAGCGTTCTTTCGCTGGCTGATGGCTGAATAAGGAAACGTGTTTCGGAACCATTAACATCACCTGCATACCATTGTTTATTGGTGGTATCATACAGGCGTGCCGCCTGGTTGAAATTGGTAAACACGAGGTATTGCTGGCTGGCATTGGCACTCAGTTTAAATTGATAACTGTTTAAACCAGCCATATCAAAATCCCTGGGGTATTTCACTTCCAGATAGGAAACACCGTAAATATCATAATTAAAGGCCGTTTTGCTACTGGCTATTGAATACGAGAGATTATTATTTCCTGCAAGCTGACTGGCGGGGAAGGTGGTATTTAAAGACTTCGTAACGCTCACCCCTAATGAACCACTTGTAAGCGGTGTACCATTCATAGATACATTTACAGACCTCGTATTACCATTGTTATAGCTGTTGTCATAAGAGCGGGTGGTAACCGCTGAATTAAAAACGGCATTCAGCCCGGTACCGGTAACTGCATTCGGAGTATTCAGCGTTATATTTTCGGTATTGCCGGCATAGATCTGCGCCCGTACAAGTCCTTCTCCATTTTCAAAAGCAGGGGAGAAAAAGGGGTTGCCATAGTTGGGACCCGACCCCGTAAAACCATCATAACTGGGGCCTTCCGTTTGCGCTGACTTGTAATTCTTGCCTACCGTAAACCAGTTATAGGTCTCGGCAGCAGGTGGCGTTGCGGGGATGGTATTCGCCACTTCGTTATACCGTAAATGACCACTTCCATTATCATAAGTGAGGTAATAGCTGGCAGTATCTGTAAAGTAGCTGATACGTGTATTGGGCTGCCAGGCGGGATCTGCATACAATTCTTTATCCAGCATCCCATTTGCACCATGACCTACAAATTCAATATAGTCGGTACTGGTCATCGTCTCTGCCGATACATAGATGGGTACTTCCCGGCCGTCACGGTACAATTTAAAGTTAGATCCCAGCACCCCAGCTGGTAATCCTTCTCCTTCCAGTATAGAGCGGCTGATCCGGTAAACACCCGGAGCGGCAACTTTGAATTTGTAATAGATTTTAGAGTAATCAATCCACTCATTTCCATACATACCACTTTGGGCAGACACACCTACAGCGGAGAATGCCGTGAATGCCAGGGCTAAACAACAATAATATATATATTTCATATCAACTTACAAATGAGACTCTAAGCAGAATAGCAATAATTGGGCCGAATGCCCAAAATTTCATAATGTTTTTTTACCTAAACAGAAAAAAAACATATAAAGCATTTTCTGTGTGCAAATCTAATGCATGCGTTCCGGTACTACCAAAGAATAATAGCGATTTGACGTTATTGTTTGACTATTTCTCAATACATCTACGCACTTAATCAATGATTATTATAATTAATTAGAAGTTATTCTACAATTTTGAGTTTTTAAGGCCGCTCAAGGGGTAATACTTTATTTTTGCTGCCCAAAACAGAGGACTATTAAAAATGCAACTGATCGCTGACCTGAAAGCCCGTGGGCTGATACAGGATATTATGCCGGGTACCGAAGAGCAACTGCAAAAGGAAATGACTGCGGGTTATATTGGTTTCGACCCTACTGCAGACAGCCTCCATGTAGGCAGCCTTTTGCCCATCACCCTGCTGATGCGCCTTCAACGTGCCGGCCATAAACCCATTGCGCTCGTAGGCGGCGCTACCGGCATGATCGGAGACCCAACCGGTAAAAGTGCGGAACGGAATATGCTGGATATGGATACGTTACAAAAAAATTGTGACGGCATCCGCAAACAGCTGGAAAAATTCCTGGACTTTGATGATACCAAGCCGAACGCTGCAGAAATGGTCAACAACTATGACTGGCTTAAGGACTATACATTCCTGGACTTTATACGCGACATTGGCAAGCACATCACGGTAAATTATATGCTGAGCAAGGATTCCGTGCAAAAACGGATGGAGCATGGCTTGTCCTTTACCGAGTTTACCTACCAGCTGATCCAGGGCTTTGACTTTTACTACCTGAACAAAACCAAAAAT